TTACCTACAAGGGAGTACCCATACGACTGTCAGCTGATTTCTCAACAGAAACTATGCAGGCCAGAAGGGAGTGGCAAGAAATATTCAAAGTGATGAATAGCAAGAACCTACAACCAAGATTACTTTATCCAGCAAAGCTATCATTCAGAAGTGAAGGTCAGATAAAGAGCTTCACAGATAAGAAAAAGCTAAAGGAGTTCATCACCACCAAACCAGTATTATATGAAATGCTGAAAGGTACTCTTTAAGAAGAGGAAGAAGAAGAAAAACGTAAAGATAAAAATTATGAACAACAAATACATATCAACTAGTGAATCTAAAAATCAAGTAAATAAAAAATCTGATGAACAGAGTAAACTGGTGAATATAATAGAATCAGGGCCATAGAAAGGGAGTATACTGACATTTCTCGGGGGGAAAAGGGCGTGAGGTATGCAGGAAGAGACTGGAAAAAAATCATACACCTATGGATGAGAACAGTGGGCGGGGGGAGGGTAAGAGCAGAGGGTGTGGTGGGAACCAAGTGGAGGGGAGCTGTGGGGGGGAAAAGAGGAACAACTGTAGTAATCTGAACAATGAAGATTTAACTAAAAAAAAAAAGATCTGCTGGCAAGATCTTGAGTGCTTTTATGGGCAAAATAAAAACTGTTAAGGACTAAAAAAAAAAAAAAAAAGTATTGCACACTTCTCTTTCCCCCTCTACCATATTCTTTACACTTAACCCTCACATGAAAAATCTTTATAAGCAAAATAGCTTCAGTACAAAACATTTCTTTTGAAGATCCCCTTATATACCAGTTTGTGATAATAGGGCAAAAACATTCTAGACTATGAAACTGATACAGTTATTTAAGAATATTTCATGTAATAATAAAGGGAAAAAGGTATTCATGTAAAATAGGTTATTTTTCTATATTATCTTAAGAAATTTAGATTCCTTTTTTCTAAGGTATGTACATTTAGATATCAACATTGTTTTAAGACACAGTCACTTTTGAATTCTGATCTTATGTTTGTAATAATAATTTTATATTATATGCGTATGGCTTTTATCATCTCCCAAGCTATCTCAGAATCTTGAATCAATGAGCTTTGGAATGTAATCAACATATTTTGGATGATGTTTAAATAAACAATGTTTGGAAGGTTACCTAAGCAACATGTTTTAAAAATGGGTATTTTCCCTAATAATATATTATCTTTGGTTATGAAACCAAGTTTTCTTCAAGGGATTATTAATAATTTATGTTACATATTTTATTATTTTAAAGTCTTGTTTTAGCCTATATTTTTATTTTGAGCCTATATGTCTAAATAATGTTTTTCTATCAATAAAATATTTAGGTTATCTAGTGAAAAGTATCTTTCCTTTTAATTAAAATATGGCCTTAATTATACATTTTTGTATTAAACAATGTCTGGGGGAAAAATGTGATCCTTGAAGACTAATGGGTGAGTTCTAAACAGACTGACATGCCTTGATATGGGGTTTGGGGAACAAGAAGAGATAAACCAAAGAACTTATGTACTTTATGCATAGCCCATGGACATGGGCAACAGGGTGGTGAAGACCTGGAGTGATGGGTAGGGGCTGGGAGGAGGAGGGGATGGAGGGTGAATGGGAGATATCCGTAATATTATCAACAATAAAAATACATTAAAATAAATAAATAACCCTGCTTTATTTTTAATCCGGAAACTGTAAGAACTTTATTACCTATTCTTAATTAAAATCACTGCTGTGTTATTAAACCCACAGCTGGAACGGTTGGTAAGCCGAACCTAGCATTTCTCGAGCTTTCTGGTAAACTTAGCTGATTCTTGGTTAAAACTTTACAGTCTATATTTAAATATGATGAGGAAAATTGTCTCAAAATTTGAGTATTGGCTTACACACTTTTCTTAAAAGTTGCTGCAGTGTCTCTAGGAAAAAGCATTAGAACTTTAGAATCACTGCTTTAAGAAACTTAAAAAGAACGAATATATCATGTGAACTTAAAAAATTAATGTGTGGAAAAAGTTTTCTCAAACCCATAACATCCTTAACTTATATATTTTAGGCTCAGCTAAGCAATTGTTTAATCTCCTTAGACAGCTACTAGCCTCTCAATTATATGCGTCATTTGTTGCTTAACAGGAAAGAGAAAAAGGTTATTTGAATGTCTGCTTTCCTTGGTATCTAATGAATTAAGAAACCAGAGAAACTGTTTCTAAATTATCTGTATATACCAAACAATGTAAACATAACTTGACTCCATTTGAAACATACACAACTATAGTTTCTAATAATAAAGTATTTTAGAGTTTTATACAGTTTTCTTTTTATACTCTGCCATAGAGACACAGAATAGATGTGATTTTTTTGACAGTCATGTTTGGAAAGTAAGATATTTTATTGAATAAAATGCCTTAACTGTCCCTGTACCTGTGTTCTTAAGTCCTGATATATTAAAATGCTTAGAATTATCATATTCATTTGCTCACCAGTCAACCAAACTTTGAGTAAATTAATTATACAGTATTTAACAGGATTTAAAAAGGAAATAGTGTCCTCAATGCTCCAGTGAAATAGAAAAATGTGCAAAATGCCATAGAAAGAGGTGTGGGAGATGCTGATACTGCAAAGCAGTGTGGTAGGGTTAAGTGACGTGATCGCCAAGGTGGAGACTGGTTTGTTTGCTAGTTTTTATAGATTTATATTCAAATTTCCTTCATAAATAGCAATCACTAATAATTACTAATCAAAAAATTACTACTCCTAAGTATACTTTTGGTGTAATTGATTATTGGGTTAATTTATTTCACATTTCATTTTGATCTTCATTCATGTGACTTTAATGACTGAGCTCTAGTTTATTTCTCCTTTCATTCAAAACATTTATTTGTATTTTATTAAATAATTAATTACATTGTTTATTAAAGGCTGAATATTATAGTAGATCATAGTAATTAAATTTTATAAGGCTGAATATTATAGTAGATCATAGTAATTAAATTTTATAAATTTATTATG